GGCACATGCCTATAGTCCCAGCTACTCGGGAGGCTGAGGCAGGAGGATTGCTTGAGCCCAGGAGTCTGAGGTTGCTGTGAGCTAGGCTGACGCCACGGCACTCACTCTAGCCTGGGCAACAAGCGGAGACTCTGTCTCAAAAAAAAAAAAAAAAAAAGACTGTGGTGACCTGTTATTTGCTGTTTATGGTGGAGATGTCCCATCTCTTCGAAGATCTGCCTTGTCGGCCACAGGTATGGAACAGAAAGACTGTGACTCCCGCACAGCTCTGCATGCTGCTGCAGCTGAAGGACACACTGAAGCTGTTAAATTCCTGACGGAGGCTTGCGAAGTGAATCATTTTGTCAAGGAGAGGTGGGGCAACATCCCTGGATGACGAGCTGTGCAGTTCAACCACCTGGAGGTGGCCAACTCCTTCAAGATTACCGGGCTCCTGCACACTCTCTGAGACTCAGGCTGAGGCAGCAGCTGAGGCTTGTCCAAGAAGAACTTAGAGAGCATGGTGTGAGCACTGGTTGTGGGCAGTCCCTGCTTGAGAAAAAGCCTGAGGTGGCCACACACCTAACCTATAGCCACCAAAAATGCTATGGAGGGCTACACTGCTTCAGTGGGGACCAAGAAAGTCATTTGGTGACTTAGGCATTGCTTTCTGTGAGGTCAAAATACCCTATTCCCTCAGCAGACAGAGTCTGGAGAGATCAGCCCCACTTGGCCAAGACATACTGCTGCTACTGCTAACAGCTATTCTATAGACAAAGTATTCTGTGTTCAATTAAACTTTAATTACACAAATAAAAAAAAAAAGAAAGAAAAATTATCCAGAACTTGGAAATAAGGCAAAAGGCTGATTGCATTTCCCTTCCATGTTATATTGGAGGACTGTCCAACAAGCTCACCTAAGGCTTCTTTCATTTCCTGGGAGAAATATGTTGACTGACTTACTGTTTACTATTAATTAGGGGAAAGACTCCAAAAGTACAGATTAATTTGTAGATTTTCACCTGGTAGAGGTACAAATGATTATTTTTATATGGAGAAGCAAACAACTCCAAAGGTTACTTTCCTTTTTCTTTTTTATTTTTTTGAAGACAGTCTTACTCTGTCGCCCTGGGTAGACTGCAGTGGCGTCATTATAGTTCACTGTAACCTCAAACTCCTGGGCTCAAGCAATCCACCTGCCTCTGCTTCCAAGTAGCTGGGACTATAGGTGTGTGCCACCACGTCCAGCTAACTTTTTTTTTTTTTCTATTTTAGTAGAGATAGGGTCTTGCTCTTGCTCTTGTTCAGGCTGGTCTCAAACTCCTGAACTCAAGTGATCCTCCCCACTTGGCCTCTCAGAGTGCTAGGATTACAGGCATGCCGCACCATGCCTGGCCAAAGTTATTTTCATACATTCTTTTTTATGATATTGACCAGTTTTTCTTTTGCTTTTTAGAGAAGAGGTCTCTGTCACGCGAAGGTGTAGTGGCATGATCGTAGCTTACAGTAACCTCGACTCCTGGACTCAAGGGATCCTCCTGCCTCAGCTTCTGGAGTAGCTAGGGCTACAGGCACATACAACCATGCCTGGCTAATTTTTAAAAATTTTTTGTAGTGACCATGTCTCACTATATTGCTCAGGCTGGTCTCCAACTCCTAGCCTCAAGTGATCCTGCTGGCTCAGCCTCCCAAAAGTTCTGGGATTACAGGAATGAGCCCCTGTGCCTAGCCAGTTTAATTTCTACAGACAGATTTATTTCAGCATGCCTTTCCTGGTTGACTATAAACCTTCCTTCCTCAAATTCCCCTTTGAATCAGCTTTACTATTTGGATAGTTTTCCTCTGTAAAGACTAAATAAATTTGACACGTTTACTATGTATGTTTTATAAGTCAAGTGTTAAGCTTTTTATATTATGCTATGTGTAAATAATTGGATTGAAGTCCTCTGTGGAAAATAAGGGTAAATTGTTCAAATTCCAGACCTCCTACATGAATTTCTGAACTGTCTGTAGAACCACAGACCCATAGGACATACACACCTTCCCCTTTGGCAGCCTCTCGGGAAGAGGCCTTGTTATAAATTTTCATAGCAGCTCTGCAAGCTAATTAAACTTGGTGGGGATAGTTTAAGAACAGACATATATACAATGGTGGCACATTAACATGAAAGTTTACCAAAACAACCTTTACAGAAACTGTGTGCCATGACAGAAAAGAACTCAGTACAAAAAAAAAAAAAAAAACTCAGTACAGTGTAAACTTTCAAAAGAAAAAAAAAATTACATGAACCTGATTCCTAGTACATAACATAAAATTATATAGACCTGTGCAGGCTTGGAAAAATGAAAATAGCCTTGCTAAAGCAGTAAGAGGTATCCTTATTTTTTGAAAAATAATTTCTAATAAAAGTAAAAAACCTCCAACCCCTCTGTCCTTTTTCAGGCATAGCCTGGCAGGAGAGAAAATGACAAAACCTCCTACCTACGCATGGGATACTACTTGATATGTGAAGCCACTCATTCCCATCACAACTGTCTCTTTGAAGACTCCAACTTGTGTCCTTTTTCATGATCCCATGATTTCAGGGTCCCCGAGCTCAGTGCAAAACTACAAACAGGTAAACTCAGGTTCACTCTGCTGGTGGCCTGGAACCAGAATCCTAAGCAGGATTCTCCCTGTCTGTCTGTCTCAGTAACTGCCTCTGAGTCTCTTGACCATTCATTCATTCATTCATTTATTGATGATTGATTGATTGAGACAGAGTCTCACTCTGTTGCCTAGGCTAGAGTGAGTCCCGTGGCATCAGCCTAGCTCACAGCAACTCAAACTCCTGGGCTTCCACACAGCAACCTCAAACTCCTGGGCTCAAGCAATCCTTCTGCCTCAGCCTCCCAAGTAGCTGGGACTACAGGCATGCGCCACCATGCCCAGCTAATTTTTTTCTATATATTTTTAGTTGGCAAATTAATTTCTTTCTATTTTTAGTAGAGACGGGGTCTGGCTCAGGCTGGTTTTGAACTCCTGACCTCGAGCCATCCGCCCGCCTCTGCCTCCCAGAGTGCTAGGATTACAGGCGTGAGCCACCGCGCCAGGCCGCCAATCCTCTTTAAACAGCTGTTGACAATCCACATCAGCAACTGCAGAAACCAGAGCATCCAGCTTTCTTTCCAGTTACTTTACAAGAGCAGAAGAGATGAAGAGAGATAGCTAGTGAGGCAATTCTATACTCTGAGGTTGTACAATTACCCCAGCAGAACCACAAAGATAAATTGGGTTTTGGAAATCTACCTAAAGTCTAAAGCCATGTCACTCGGAATGTGCCGATCACGCCTAATCTCAAAAGCTGAGCAAGGTCACGCCTGGTTGGTATACGCTCTCGAGGGAAGAATCTAAGGACAAGCCTTATTCCCTTGCTGGGACTCAGAAAACAATACCCCAAAATGTGGCACCTTGGCGCGCTGAGTACTTTGCACCAAAGGAGATTAAACGGCTTCAGAAGCAAAGTTTCTCTCTTGGACCTTCTCCTACCCTCCTGACCCCCATCTCCTCTTCTCCCCCAGAGCAAGTCATAGAAACCAGAATTCTCCTTCCCCAAGGCAGGTCATAGAATCTAGAACCCCTGTCCGCTAAAGCAAGCCATAAAATCCAGAAAAATCACTGTCTCCCTTCTTCCTTGGAGACCCTCATTCCACAGGGGTCTTGTGCTATACCCAGGGGGAAGGACTACTATCTAGAGAGGCCAAGAAGAGTGTCAACAGACAGGCCTGGCTCGGTTTCCCCAGCAGTTTGTTACCATGAGCTCACACCCTTTTGTCCAATCACGTTTTTACATGGCTACCCCATTCTTCATCAAACCTAAGCACAAAAACAGTTTTCCCTGGGTCTTTGGGTCTTCATTCCTAAAGGCTCTTGCATCATGTCAACTTTGATTAATAAATTTGTTATGCTTTTCTCTTGTTAACCTGTCTTTTGTTATAGGAGTGTCAGCTATGCTCCTTATGAGGGGTGACAGAAAGTATCCTATCCTTTGGCCGGGTGTGGTGGCTCACACCTGTAATCCTAGCACTCTGGGAGGCCGAGGCGGGAGGATCGCTCAAGGTCAGGAGTCCGAGACCAGCCTGAGCAAGAGCGAGACCCCATCTCTACTAAAAATAGAAAGAAATTAATTGGCCAACTAAAAATATATACAAAAAATTAGCCGGGCATGGTGGTGCATGCCTGTAGTCCCAGCTACTCGGGAGGCTGAGGCAGCAGGATTGCTTGAGCCCAGGAGATTGAGGTTGCTGTGAGCTAGGCTGATGCCACGGAACTCACTCTAGCCTGGGCAACAGAGTGAGACTCTGTCTCAAAAAAAAAAAGAAAGTATCCCATCTTTCTACCTCTACACCCTGGGAGCTGAGAGAAGCTATGGCTGTCTACAGCCACACCTTAGGCTACAGCCGCCCACGTGCCTTACGTTCAAATCCTAGCTGGACCCGATCAAAGACATGAGCTTGGGCAAATTTCACTTTCACCAGCTATACACGGGAACAGCAATACCTACCCCAGAGGAATGGAATCGTTCCTGTAAAGTGCCCTGCGCCTGGTTAAGTGCTCGATCCTTGCTACTTCCCTTTGCCTTTCCTCCCCCTCTTGCCTCTTTCAGCTGACATATATCTATTTTATGACTTCTGGTGACAAAATTCAAGATTGGAAGCAGTGGTTGTCCAAAGGAGGGCCAGTCTGACCAGACTCATGACACGCCCTTCCCAGAACGCCACGCTGGACTAGCTCCCGTTTCTTTTCTTTTCTTTTCTTTTTTTTTAGCGTATTATGAGGGTACATGTGTTAAGGTTACATATATTGCCCATGCCCCCATCCCCCCTCGAGTCAGAGCTTCAAGCATGTCCATCCCCCAAATGCTGCACATCTTACTCGTGGTGGCTTGAGCGATGCACTAGCTGCACTGGGCATGCAGCTGTACCCCTCTCTAGCGCGGGTGCCCAGGCCCTGGAGGGGGGCCACGCGCCCTGCTACTCACGTCTGGATGGCGTTCAGTCCGGCCATCTTCATCTTCAGCAGCCGGTCCTTCCAGTAGAAGCGGGGCACGCGGGAGTAGTGAATGCTCCCGGAGATGTAGCGGAACGGCTGGCCGTCCTTGAGGAAGCGGTCCCGGCTGTAGTCGATCTTGAACGTCTTCTGGGAGGCATGCTGTGGACGGAGCAAGCACGGGACACGTGAGGACGCCGCCCACCTTCTGCATTTCAGAAGCAGACCCTCTGGCAGTGGCAGGTGACTCCCTGCCTGTTTAATCTGCACAACGTGCTGATGGAGTGAATGCCTGGTTCCTGGGCAATCAAAGTACTGCTGAGCCAGGTCCACCGTGTGCACTCAGGTAACAGAAACCAACAGGGAGGATTCACGTACAGGATTCTGTAGGGCTTAGTTTCCAGAGGCCGGCACCAATGTGACAGTCAGTGGCTGAGATTGCATTCCAGCGTGCCGTTCACGGGGCTTGGGAAGAGAACACACACACACACACACACACGCACACGCACACGCACACGCACACGCACACGCACGCGCGCAGCAGTGGCTGTAACCTGCATCAGCACTAGGTGTGCTTCAACACTAATGTCACCAGCTTCACCAAGACCCATTAGTTAAACTCTAAGTGACCAGGAGTGGTGGCTCACGCCTGTAATCCGAGCACTCTGGGAGGCCCAGGCAGGAGGATCACTTGAAGCCAGGAGTTGGAGACCAGCCTGGGCAATAGCGAGACACCATCTCTTCAAAAAAATTTTAAAAGTAGCTGGCTGGGGTGGCGTGTGCCTGTAGTCCCAGCCTACTCAGGAGGCTGAGGCAGGAGGACCACTTGAGCCCAGGAGTTTTGAGGTTGCAGAGAGCTATGATGATGCCACTGCACTGTAGCCTGGGCCACAGAGTGAGAGCCTATCTTGAAAGAAAGAAAAGGAAAGGAAGAAAGGAGGAAGGAAAGAAGGAAGGAAGGGAGGAAGGAAGGGAGGGAGGGAGGGAGAAGGAGGGAGGAAAGAAAGAAAGAAAGAAAGAAAGAAAGAAAAGAAGAAAGAAAGAAAGAAAAGAAAGAAAGAAGAAAGAGAAGGAAGGAAAAAAAGGAAGGAAGAAAGAAAGAAAGGAAGGAAGAAAGAAAAGAAAAGAAAAAGAAAAAAAAGAAAAGAAAAGAAAAAAGAAAAGAGGAAATTCAAGGTGTAAAATTCAGGGCAAAAACACATATTAAAAGTCCAAAGTCCTGAAGCACCATCCTACGGTGTGTTCATGAGTCCCACGGTCACCTGGGCAATTCCCATCTCTACCCTCCTCTCCTCAGCCATAACTATCCAGGTATTGTATAAAGAACCTTAAAACACTATTTTTCAAATTGTGGGCTGAACTAGATTTTGTAGTAATAAACTCAATATGGGGGTCATGATTAGGTATTTTTTTTTAATTGCTAATTTATATACATATATTTTTTTGGGATGGAGTCTCACTCTGTCAGCCCAGCTAGAGTGCAGTGGTGTCATCATAGCTCACGGCAACCTCGAATTCTGGTCTCGAGCAATCCTCCTGCTCAGCCCTGAGTAGCTGGAACCACATCACTGCCTGAGCTAAATTTTGCATTTTAGTAGCAATGGGGTCTTGGGCTTGCTCAGGCTGGTCTTGAACTCCTGAGCCCAAGCGATCCTCCAGGCTTGGCCTCCCAGAGTGCTAGGATTACGTGAGCCACTGTACCTGCCAGGCATTCTTTTTTAAATGAAAGAATAGAAAATCAGTAAACTGTACAAGCATTACTTTATAAACTTTCATTATATATACACATGTAGAGTTGCTATGTCTGTATGTCTCTACTGGGTTGCAATGTATTTTTTTTTTTTTTTTTTTGAGACAGAGTCTCACTTTTGTTGCCCAGGCTAGAGTGAGTGCCGTGGCGTCAGCCTAGCTCACGCAACCTCAAACTCCTGGGCTCAAGCGATCCTCCTGCCTCAGCCTCCCAAGTAGCTTGGACCTACAGCATGTGCACCACCATGCCGCTAATTTTTTGTATATATATTTTTAGTTGGTCAATTAATTTCTTTCTATTTTTAGTAGAGACGGGGTCTCGCTCAGGATGGTTTCGAACTCCCAACCTCGAGCAATCCGCCCGCCTCGGCCTCCCAGAGTGCTAGGATTACAGGCGTGAGCCACCGCGCCCGGCCTGCAATGTATTTTTATCAGTCAAATACAATTTAAGAAACACTGACTGAGAGTCACTTCAGAGCTAAAGTGACATGATTTGAAAGGGAAGACCTCAAAGGGGAGCCAACTGTTAGAGTGGAACACTGCCCTCTGGTGGACAAAAAAGGAAGCAACAGGCCACAGGCGCCAACATGACTAGGGTTACAAGAAACCATCTATTTAATAATGAGTGTCCTGCATTATTAGTGAGATTCTTTGTGCATCTTTAGGCTTTTAAAAGTCACAATAATAGCTTTAGTCACAGCAGTATCACAGTTCAGGTAGCTTTGGAAGTTGCCGTTGAAGTCGTATCTGGAAACAATTGGGAGAGCATGCATCCTAGATCACACATGGCCTGAAACCCACCTGGGGAGTGGAAGTTAAGCAACTCAGAGCAGAATGCATAAGAGTAAACAAGAGCTTTCTTGTGTGTGGGTTACATCTCAAAAAGCTAACCCAAACAAACACATCAATAATTTAAGAATCATTTTTCTAAAAGGCTAGCGTCAATTTAATATCACTTTATTTTTCTAGTAAATAAGGCTTTCATTCCCATTCAAAGGCAAGAAACTCACTAAAACATAAAAATTATTTCTTACACCAAGTGCCCCAATAGATGATCTTGAAAATATCCTCATAGTATGTATATGACTAAGTGTCAAATAAGGGTTCCCCACAAGTTCCACAAGTTTATAGGCAGCCCATGAGATGGGGCAATTCTTTGGACAGGGAGAAAGGAAGCAGGGCAACTTCAGGCAGGACTGCGAAAAGGGCAGGGCTGTTGGAACTACACTCGTCTAGGGCAGGGAGTTCAGAAGAACAGGAGACAAAGCTGGCGAGAAATGATGGTGGCAGACAACAAAATCTGGCCTTTGTCTCGCACATAGTGGGGCACTATCTCTGTCCCCAGTCACCCTCAGAGTCCAGCCTAAATCTCTCCCACCCATCTACAAACATAACCAAGCACCTACTATGTACCAGGTAATCCCAGAGGGGAAGCACATACCATGTTTCCCCAAAGATAAGACAAGGTCTTATATTTATTTTTCCTCAAGAAGACACCCTAGGGCTTATTTTCAGGGGATGTGTTATTTTTTTTAAGTATGGTACAATAATCTACATTGATTCAAATATAGTTAAGTCATCTTCTTCTGGAATATCATCATAACTCTCCAAACCCTGAATTCCATCCTGAATTTGTTATGACTCTTATTTCCTTTAGAACCATTGGCCCCAATCTCTCATGTGGAGCAATAGAGCTCTCATGGGGCAGATGAGAAGGGCTGCTCATCTTCTTTCCCGCTCCGTGACGAAATGCATGGGTTGTGCAGATACGCTGCACAGCCAAGCCCATCACTAGGTCTTATTTTCGGGGTAGGGCTTCTATTGCGCAAATGCATAGAAATCCTGCTAAGGTTTATTTTATGGGTAGGTCTTACTTTCGGGGAAACATGGTAGATGTGGCCACAACCCACATGAAGCTTCATCTAGCTTGGAAGAAACCCAAGGGCTAACAGAGTGAGGGGTCTAGGTGGGGAAACAGGTGATAGAGCAGGAAGCTGCAGCAGAAAAAAATGGCATGGAACCCAGGCCTGGGGTGGAGGGCAAGCTTCTCAGAGGAAGAAACACCCCAAAGTGTGCTTCTCAATCTTGGCCGCTCATCAGAATCACCCGTGCAAGCTTTTAAAAACAGCAACGTTGGGCCTATCCCCGCCAGACATTCAGATTTTAATTGGTCTTTGGAGGAACCCAGGCACTGGTAGTTCTTAAAGCTGCCCAGGTGCTGTAACGTGCAGCTGGGGTTGGGAACTGCTGGCCTCAGTGAAGGCCTAGGACTGGGGGGAGTTAGCCCAGGGGGAAGACAACTGATGGAGAAAACCACGCGTGAGGCTCAGGAGAGAGGGCAGGATGGCAGCAGCCACAGAGCCTTGAGTCAGATAAAACGTGGCAGCTAGGCTGGGCGTGGTGGCTCACGCCTGTAATCCTAGCACTTTGGGAGGCCCAGTCAGGCGGATTGCTCAAGGTCAGGAGTTCGAAACCAGCCTGAGTGAGACCCTGTCTCTACCAAAAATAGAAATAAATTAATTGACCAACTAAAAAATATATATGCAAAAAATTAGCCGGGCATGGTGGCACATGCCTGTAGTCCCAGCTACTTGGGAGGCTGAGGCAGTAGGATCGCTGAGCCCCTGAGATTGAGGTTGCTGTGAGCCAGGCTGACGCCACGGCACTCACTCTAGCCTGGGCAACAAAGTGAGACTCTGTCTCAAAAAACAAAACAAAACAAAACAAAACGTGGCAGCTGCTGAGCCAGAAGGGGGGGGGCAGCGTCCAGATTGAATGAGCCCCCAAGTCCAGGTTCAGGGGCTTGGACTTTATGCCAAGAGCCATGGAGAACAACTGAAATGAAGGAATGGTAGGATCAGATGTGTTTTCACACGTTCAGCACTCTGGCCTTTTCCGGAGGCGGCAAAAAGGGCAGCAGCAACATGGGATGGACCACAGTGGTGACGGTCAGGCCGGCAGCGGGCAGGAGGGAGACCCACAGGAGTGGTGGCTGGTTAGATGCGGGGGCGCTGGGGCTAACCTGAAGGGGCTTCTGCTAGCCTCAGGGGGAAAATCTGAGCATCAAAAAGAGAGAGTGAGAAAGACTTAAAAGACATATCAACAAAAAAAACTGGCCGGGTGTGGTGGCTCACACCTGTAATCCTAGCACTCTGGGAGGCTGAGGCAGGTGGATCATTTGAGCTCAGGAGTTCAAGACCAGCCTGAGCAAGAGCGAGACCCCGTCTCTACTAAAAATAGAAAGAAATTAGCTGGACAACTAAAAAAAAAAAATATATATATATATATATATAAATTAGCCGGGCATGATGGCGCATGCCTGTTGTCTCAGCTACTTGGGAGGCTGAGGCAGGAGGATTACTCCGAGCCCAGGAGTTTGAGGTTGCTGTGAGCTAGGCATCAGCACTCTAGGC